TTGTCTTCCCTCTATTCATCTATGTCCCTCGGCGCCATTTACCATGAGCTGCGGGGGGCCTTATCGACGAAGATTCCGGCTGATCAGCACCCTGCTCCAGCCTTCGCGAAGATATCCAAACATTTCGACACTTTGGAAGCGGCCAAGGTCAAGATTCCCGCGCTTATTGAAGGTCTAATCTGCCTTTATGCACTCCCCAGCCGCTATGAGAACATTGCGCAGATGCTGGTCCAAGCTACCTCTGCTGACAACATGGGCATAGGTGCGGTACGGGAAGCAGTTACCACTGCTTGGGACCAGTCTCAAGGCAAGAAGCCTGAGAAACTCGGTGCGCACAAGATCTCGGCGGTGAAGCGTAAGCCGGGTGATCCCTCCTTTTCTTCGCAGCAGCAGCAGCGCCCTCAGGGCAGCAGCAGCAATGCGCGAGATGGGAAGAGGCGCCCTTATCGCGGCAAGCGCGCAGGCAAGAAGCGTTAAGGGTAAAACCACGATCACCACCATGCCCACGACGTCTTGATCGCCTCGACCGTCTCCCTTCCTCCTCCGACTATCGCTCACGTCCTCGACATTGCGCCTACCGGCAGCAAGACTCGGACGGTCAAAGAGCAAGGTCCATTCCACCCGCCTCCTTCGGCGGATACCAGTCACTACAACAACAAGCGTATCAAGAAAGCCTTCAAGCTCGCGCGGGACCTCGACATCAGTCCCACTGAAGAGGACATCAAGGTTTTGGATGCTCTCGTCGGGCAAGTCGACCCGGACCCGGATGTCGACATGGAGGACGCCGACTCCGTCACCTCCAGCCGCGCGTCCAAGCGCGCTCGTTTTGAAGGAGTCGCTCGCGCGGATGACGCTGCGGACAGCGACCACGATGACAACCAGTCCATCGACTGGGGTAGTGACAAGGACCAGGGGGAGACTGTCAGTCTCGGCGACGAGGAAGACCTGGACCGCACTATCGCGGAGGCTGCTGGCTTCGACCAGAATGCCTTTATCGACGAGCATTACTCGTACGTGCCATCTTCCCCTTTACAGGACTCCACTAACGTGCCATCACAGTTAGGGCAGCGTAGTGTAGACTTAAATTTGAGTCCTGTAACGTTGGCATTAATATATTGCACTCATGCGCAAACTTATGCTGCGTGTGCAAAATGTAAGGGGAAAGATAAGGCACAACAGGGTAACACCTGGATCCTCGACTCGGGGGCCTCTCGGCATTTCACCTATGACATGAGTGATTTCATCGATTATGAGGAATTTAAGCAACCTGCGACCGCGTCTACCGCGAACGGGTCTGCACGAATACTCGGGTTTGGTACGACTGTCCTGAATTATTATATCAAGGACGTCGGGAACATAACCACTCGGTTATTTCCAGTATACTATATACCTGACCTGAATATTCGCCTCATGTCGCTCGGAGTTTTACTCCAGGATAAACTAAAAGTGTCTGGCAATGACCAACACATAAGTCTATACGAAAAGGGATTGCGCGAACCTTTATTCAGGTTTTTACCGCGGCAGCCCGGCGACACTATCTACAGTGTCAGTACAATTCCTGCACCGGATGCGTACTCTATATTCCCAACGATCTATGCGGTCGATTATGGGATTATGCACCGTCGCATGGGACACCCCTCTAAGGAAGTCCTGCGGCAAGCTAGGGAACACACTAAAGGTTTCCCCACCAATCTGGAGTTTCCATCGGAAGACCCAGTATGCCCTGGATGCGCGGAAGGCAAAATGCCTTCTAAGGCTTTCCCACCATCCACTCTACGGGCTAAAGAACCGTTTGAGTTAATTCATTCGGATCTTAAGTCTTTTCCCGTAGACTCCTACCATAAGTATCGATACACAATCATCTTCTTTGACGATTACACCTCCTATGGATGGGTCATGCATATGCGCTCCAAGGGTGCTGCAATTGCTAAGACTCGTCAATTCCTAGCCTACGTACAAAATCAATATGGCAGGAAAATTAAGGAGTGGATGTCCGATGCAGGGGGAGAGTACAAATCTGACGCATTCATCGAGATGCTCAGAGATGAGGGCATAAAAATCCGACAGAGCGCACCTTATGCGCACCAACAGAATGGTCGCGCTGAGCGCTTTATTCGGACTATAATGGACAAAGCGCAGTCAATGCGGCTAGAGTCCTGCTCACCTCCATCTTGGTGGGAATTTGCGGTAGACCATGCTGTTCATGTCTACAATCGGACCCCTTTGAAGCGCCATCAATGGCTGACTCCTTATGAGGTCCTGAACAAAGAAGCTCCCGACATCAAGCACTTACGTGTCTTTGGATGCGGAGCGTACGTCTACCTGCCTAGAGAAACCAGACCCAATAAGTTATCGCCTAAAGCTGAGCTGATGACTTACATTGGTGTCGCTGATGGCGGCCATGGCTTCAAGTTCATGCGCGCCAATAATAGCATAGTCACTCAGCCTACTGCGCTGTTTGACGAAACTATGTTCCCTAAATGCCCTAATACAAAGCGACGGGCAAGCACTAGGCTGCAAAGTGCGCCTAAACCGGCTGACAGTCAACCAGAAAATTCTGATGATGACTGGATCACCGATGACGATGAGCCAGACTCACGTCCTCCTCCTAAATCCCAAAAGGGGCCAGGCCAGGATCGTGACGACGAACCTGCGCAGCCTGAGGCGCGAGAGCCTGAGAACCCGCCTTCTCCACCTCCAGGGGATCCTGCGCCACAAGATGAGCCGCGGAGACCGGTGAGAGAAAGGAAACCAGTAACTCGCCCGGGTAATATCTACGGTGAATCGCGGAATCCCATAGACACCTATCGCGAGATTGAGTCAGACAAGAAGTGGAAGGATTTAGTTGGCGAAAAATCTAAGACGTCTCGCATACCTCGCCAGTCCAAGCAGAAGCAACAGGTTCCCGGACCTAGCTCTGCCCCTCCACCTCGCGACCCTCCTGCTCAATCCCCGGGTGCTTCGCATGAGCCAATCGCTCCTGAAGCCTCTGACCAGCGGTCTGAACAAGACGCTGATGAGTTACTTCTGGCACAGCTATGCCGGGAAGGGGGAGTACCATTAATTAATTACCTGCTTCTGCAGGCTATTTCGCCAGAGGCAGATGATCCAGACACGTCCAATGTCAGAGAATGGACGTACCGCGATATCCTTCGCTTACCACCAGAAAAGCAGAAGGAATGGAGAGCTGCTTGCCACGAAGAATTGGATGCACTTCGTCGGCGCAGAGTCTTCGACTTGGTTGACCGCCCTAAAGGGCGTAAAGTCATAAAATGTCGCTGGGTATTTGACGTCAAATCAGATGGACGTCGCAAAGCGAGATTAGTCGCTAAAGGCTTCTCGCAGGTTGAAGGCATAGACTTCGACCAAATATTCTCACCAGTTGTGCGCTTTGAGACAGTGCGCCTTATGCTCGCGCTAGCAGCGCTTGAGGATTGGCACATATCTGGACTCGATGTGCGCAATGCCTATCT